TCCAGAGAATTATAAAGATCATATCCGCCACCTTTTTCTTTTGGTTTAGGACAACTTGGGAACCCTGGTCATGAACTCATGCAACTTGTAAGTGACTTTGATAGTCTAGGATGCTTTACTGACCGGCCTTACTTGCATGTGGTTTTGCTTAGCATATCTGCTATAAGGGTTTTGCTTGTGTGTTTTGTGTCTCTTTGGCTACGGATGCCAAGTTTTGGGTGGGTTATCCAGTTAGGTGACGCAGGGTCCGTGCTAGAATTAAAGTTCAGGTTCCCAGGTATGTTGTGATTTCAACACTGTGATCTTTTAGGCTTGTAAAGAGTCTGTAGTAGGTTACAGCGGCAGTAGTGGCTCTGGAGAAGACTGAATGTGGGGTGTGTGGCTTTGGAGAACTATTCTCAGAGGTGACTTAGATTGCATATGAACTTGGAATGGGACAAATCTATCCAAGGAAAGGATAGCAGGAGAGGAGAAGGAAAGGAAAGCCAGCAAGACCTAGGGCCCGGCTTTCCTCATCTGGATGAAAAGTACTATATAGGACAAAGCATAGGAGAGGAGAAAACCAGGCAGCCCCCCAGGCTCATGGGCAGGGCCTGGCTTGGAAGTAAGGGATGACCTGAGAGCGAGAGTGCTTCCTCTCTTTATTGTAGTTAATCTTTACCCCACAGACTTTATCTCATAGTTAAAATGGCTTTATATTAATCAACAGGGAAAGAGGATTTGACACATCAGTTTCCCAGTAGCCATCCTTTCTAGTCCAGAATCTTCCCAGAGGCATGTTGACCTTTTCTGTCTGTTGGCAAACCCCAGGTCCCTGGAGCTGCTCCTGCTCATTGGTGACTGGCCAGTTCTGGAGCAAACTCCTGCTGGGGTTTGAAGCCTAGTACAGGTCTGTCCTTCCAAGGAAAGAGAACAGCTATTCCTTCATACTTATGGGTGCTTTTCCTACCACATGCTGCTTGAGGGTTTTCATGGGAAACCTTTGTAGGGATTTTTTTTTTTTTTCGAGACAGGGTTTCTCTTTATAGCCCGGGCTGTCCTGGAACTCACTCTGTTGACCAGGCTGGCCTCGAACTCAGAAATCCAGCTTCAAGCTTATATTTGAAGACCAAATTCTTTTCCTATGCTGTGAGGATTTCTAATTTTTTTCAAAATGAAGTGTCTGCAGTCATTCCTATTTTTTAAAAATATCTTTATAGTCTTTATGTGCTGAAAAGAACTTATATTCTTTTGGGAAAGAAATATGACTATTCTCCAGATTAAGAGGGAGTGAGGGAAGGTTAGGTTAGAGGGAGCTTCATCAAAGGGGGAAGACAGCTGACTTAGGTCTTCAGTTTATCTTCAGTATTGACTGTCAGGTAACCTACGTATTTGTACATTAATTTTTCTTTGTTCTTGTGTGTGTGTGCGTGTGTGTATCTTCATGAGTATTTCAACCTTTGTTAGTTATAAAATCAACTTACTGTCACTGTTAAAAACCTGTAAGGCATTAAACCATGTACCTAGGAATATACAATAACAAAACAAAATCAAACAAAATCCCCACTAATGAACCCATTATCTGCATATGTCACCATACATGGTTAGTTCCCCCCCTTTTTAACATTTGGAAATGACATGTATTTATAGAATATATAAAACATAGGATGTAAGAGTATATAGATGTGTTGGTGTTAATTTCCACAAGAGATTATACTTTCTAAATAGAAGGCCTTTTCTTAAACTAGACCCAGCAGGAGAATAAAGCCAGGAAGGAGGTGGGAGTAGAAAGGAAGTGGGATTAATCTAGTTAAACTCCCAGGCTTGGCACACAGCGTGGTCACACTGAGAAACAGGAGAAGGGAAGTGACTCAGTCATATTAATAGAGGCAGCCGGGATGAGACAGGGAATGGCATCTTTTGGAGTTGGGAACTGAGGATCCAAAGCTGAAGGCTCTAAATCACTTATATAATAGAAGTTAGTTTTCATATCAAATCTTGAACACTATAGTTAGCCTTGTGATCAATACAGTCTTCCTTCAGCTTTTGCATTTAGACTGGGAGATATCACAGAAGCCAGAGACAGGTATCCAGACTTTTCAGAGCATGACAAAATGTTGTTTACAAATGTATTGTCTCTGTTTGTGGGTGGTTTTCATTGTTGTATGTGAATTTGAGAAGAAGACCACTCAAGAAGAAGACCATTCAAGTTCCAAACCCTTCCACAGCAGCCTCGATGATAGCAGCTTAGCTTTCAAGCTTCTCATCAAAGTAAGGTTCCTCCTTTATTGGAGGCTTGGAGAAGATGGTGAAAGGCACAATTAGCAGCTCTGGGAACAAAACTTTTAAAGAGGTCATGGCTGGTTGTAGATTTGGAAGGGTGGGCTTCAGAGTTTACCAAAACACTGTGAATCCCAGGACCTCAAGCCTTAGGGTAAGTCCTATATCTTTGGGTCAGACCCATCTGGATGAGGCAGGAGAGTCCACATCAAAGGCTTTACCCTTCTTCCAAAAGAATGGAAGCATTAACTACTACTTCATATGCCAGCTTTGTGCACAAGACACTCTGTCCCACTACATTGACAAGCCATCAATCACCTGCTTGTTTAGAAGTGAAGAGAGTAGGCTCAGTATTTGGGAATGTAGCATTCTAGTTGCTATGATAATCCTCCAACTTTAACCCTATGTCTGATGTCAGAAGTGACCTGTATCTATCAACAAAACCTGTATACTGATGTATCTCAGTATTTCGGGTAGACTGGGGTTCTTATGATAGTTCTCAGATAGTATTAGTATTCATGATGCTGGCATCTTAGAACAGTTCAGAGAGAAGGGTCCGAGAGAGAAGAAGAAGAAGAGGAAGAGGAGGAGGAGGAGGAGGAGGAGGAGGAG